GAAGAGCGTGGTGGCTGTGTAGTCGGAATCGTTGCATTTGAGCTCGCTCACGAGATGACGTGGCTCGATCTTCACGAGATCCGTGACGTACTTGTTTGGCAGCACACGGGAGGTATTGAGAACACTCGAAGGTACTTGAGGCAGCAGCCCAGTATCTCTCATCAAATTCAGAGCCATGACATCGTAATCTTTGCCCTGGTGAATGAACCACCCGCCAGCAACGGCAAGCACGACCACCACAACAGGTAGGAGCTTCAGAGCGACGGAACTTGAGCTACGATCTTTGGTTGGAGGCTTGCTTGCTGGCACTTTTGTATTGGGCATCTTCTTTCTTGTTTTTTCGGCACGTAAACAAGAAATGAGCTTGAGACTGGCGATGCCGCTTCCGAAGTAAACGTGGAAGCTTTTTGAGTTTCTTCTTTTGATATAGCACATAGATGCAGTCGCAGAGCTATGATCTGGAGATCGTGTCCAGAAGATATCGTGGAAAATCTTTGTGACGCCAGGATCCGGCGACTAGCCACTCGGCTGTGCACATGTTTCTTCGAATGGTGAGTATCTGTTTAGCGAGTGTTCAATTGCTTTGAAGATTCAGGAAACACAGTTAAACGAAGATTCATGTTAGTCTTCAGGAATAGCTGAAGGTCTAAGCGCTTGGGCTAACATGGCAATGGAATCAGTAATCCCTTAACCATTAACAAAACTGAATGTATCTGAATGTAGGCAGCGCATGGTTTTACATGCTCCTGCTATGATTTTGCCCAGAAGCTACTTGGTCGTCCACAGATCGGCAGCTTCATCGGCATCGGAATCCCACATGAAGGAGTTAGATCCCCACTTGGTTCCCTCATGAGGAGGACAACCACCATGCCGGCTGAGCTGATCCACATCACCTTCGGGTGTTTGAACGTAAAATAGAGAGGCGTGCAAGCCAAGAGGGGGCACTGCCAGTCCGGAAGAGCACTCATCCATACCTTCACGAACGATCTTCTCGTCAGAATACCGATCCAGAGAGTAAGGGAACACCGTCTCGCCTCC